ACCGTAGCCGGCGGGGCCCCGAATGAGTCGGCCTTGTCCGTGAAGCCAAACGCTGCGCACGACGTATTACACACGCGGCGCGCACTTTCATGGTTTGTGCGCATCAGCAACGGTGAGCGAAACGCGCGCGGAGATCGTTCGACGTTTTATCTGCTCGAGCACGGGTCAACGGTTCTGTTGTACGTTCCGAGTCGGTTAAATGTACAACGACGACGGCAAAGGGTCCCCGTGCGATTTACCGTTGCGTACCGGATTCCGATACGAGCTTTTGCCAAGCGACCCGTTCTCGGGCGGATTCGTTTCGTTGGTCCGCACCGATCGTCGGGAATCCTAGCGCACCGCAGGCGTTTCATCGTCGTTACACATGCATCGGTAAATAATCGCCATCGAACACCCGTGGGTCGAGTGCGGGCTAGAAACACTAGTCGTTTAGTAACGCATAACGCACCTGCATGGTAGTAGCCGTTTTGTTCGCTCGTTCTAATCCCCGTAAACGGTCGCGCTACCAACGAATATCGCACCGGTTACGGGAGAGCGTTGATGTTTCTGTTGACCGTGACGCGGATACGATCGTGCGCCCGGTCGCCTACCGATGTGATACTAATCGTCGTCATCGTCATTATCATAATCACGCGACGATTTCGAATGGATATTATACTTGATAAAGACATCGTGCGATGAGTAATACACCGATTCGTCACGCGATAGCAGATCGGTGTGTAAATTACACGGCAGAAAGATACCCCACTTCCGTGCATTGTTTCAATCGACGATCGAAATCAATGAAAACAATATTCCGACCGGGATCACCGATGTGCGTAGGTACCCGAGAAAAATAAATACAATTATTTATCGAATGTCACGGCTGAAGTGTATTATTTTACTGCTCGCGTATATTTTCAGTTTGAACTTTCAGTGAACGCGTTAGATTACGATCCTTGCGATGTGCGAACTGTGACTGTCACTGTGTAGCGCTTTAGTAGGCATACACGAGTGGCTCTAGTTTTTAAACACGAACCTATACGACTGTAATACATTTAGCTGCTGTTGACATAATCAGGCTACGGTTAAGGTGGTGTTTAAAATTTGTCGAGGGTAAAACGATTTGTTTAATATGAAAGTATTGCGTTTTACATAAACATGATATCAATATTAAAGCATTTTTTTTTTTAACGAAGTATTAGTGCACGCATTTTCGTCGAATGGAGCCGGATATCGTGTCGAAATTGTTATTTAAAAAGATCTTTAGAAAAAAATGCTATATTTTATACCACTGAAATTATTGTTTTTGTGCGAACAGCCAAACGTATAAAACTGTTAAAAAACGTAGAATACGGGTCTGCAATGAATCACGTATTCACGGACGTATACTGTTCGATATGATGATGATGTCGATCGATTAAACTATTCCTCGAAAACCCATCGTTTTTTTCCATAACATCCAATATATATTTATGCGTGCATCACGTCAAAACGTTTGTTACTAATAACGTACAATTATGTGCACAGCCGTGTCGGATAAATATTTTCGAGTTTTTAAAGAGGACTTTTGGTTTTGTTGGCGTTCCCCGGTCTCCCGTAACATCTGGTTTCGGATCAATGTTGTACGACGGAACTAATTGCGAGTCGTTAAAACGCAACAACACGGAATATGACGACGACGACGACGACGACGACGACTACGACGCAGTCCTTGCACCCCGGGCGGGAATCGTTAAAACTCGCGTACATATTACATAATATTATATATATATATATATATATATGTACCGCGCGCGGAACCTCATCAGTCATCGTAAACTTTACGGGATTTTCATTACAAACGATCTCGTTTGCGGTCCGCCGTCGATGGTGCAGCGCAGGAAGAGACGGCGTTGCAATTACGATATTAAAATCCATTCGTTCGTGTCATCGCGACGAGCGAAACCGCACCGACGGGAAACGCAATAAATATATTACATTATTATTATTATTATTATTATTATTATTATTATTATTATTATTATTATTATATAATATATACGCAGCACCTGTCGCCTGCACAATAATCGCGACGTGTGATATATTATAGCGGTATATTGCAACGTTTGAAGGGATCGAATACGGCCATTTTTACGACAGCCGGACGGCGGTGAGAAGGGGATGGATAGGAAAAAAATAATTTTTACAAAAGTAGACGAGGGGCACAATCACCGTCCGTAACAATAACACGGTATTGGCGACAACAGATCGTGTATGAGAAAACGTCCGTGATTGGTTCTTGTTTCACCGTATTACTTAAATAATATGTTTAATAGAGATTATACGATATTCTAATACTCGTTATTCGGTTTAACAGTTTAGACAAATGCTTTGGAGTGAAAACCTCAAGTTTGAACACAAAGTATGACACTATAAGCCGTTCCGTTTAATTGAACGAGTACACGATAATTACGGCATCTAGTGTACACGAACATCTCTAATCCAATACAATTCGTACCGTAAGTGCTTATCGCGGCAGTATTACGACTTAACCAAATACGTACACAAATGATGCGCATTTGTTCGCAATGAATAAAGGATCAGAGACAAACTACGTCCTCTCATAGACCGAAAAATCAAATACCTTTCCCTAGAATTGTTTTCTAATAATTAGCATACAATCAGCATTATTGAGTTTTTAACACATTATCAGCAACAAAGTTAAAAATATCAAACTAGTAGTGAATAATAGATTAAATATTACAAAAATTACACCCTTTAAAATTGCATACCCAAGGATGAATGACACAACATTTGATGAACCATCGGATGATTTTCGTACAAAACTGAACAAACATACATGTACCGAGTTAAAATAATATATACTTCATGTATACCTACAAGATGTAACTAAACACAAATAATAAATGACGGGAAAATAAATGTTGTAAATAACGATACTTTCTAAAAACTTTTTATTTACGAATTTTAATAATTTACCATTTATCCCTTCTATATAATGACAAAATCTGATGAACATGGGATGTTCAAGCATTGGAAGGTCGACTTTTGGCTAGAAACTGCCTTACAGATAAAACATTATGAGCTTACGCATTGTCGTGATGCAAATGTAGCGGTTCGTTTTTCCACGATTTGGACCGCTTTATACTTATTTACGTGTTTTCGGAGTATTGTCATGACTTGTAAATAATAATGTTGATTTATAAGTTTTTCCCTGAATTACCCATTCACCTATAATTGTTCCCTTTACATAAAAAAATACGATTAACATAGCCTTTAATTTGGTTATCGAACGATTGAGAACGTTATACCTTTTTGACCGAACGATTGAGAACACTTAAAATTAACAAAGAACTTAGCGCTGACCCAAAAAAAAAAAACCCAAGAAACGAAAAGATTGAGAACGAATTTATGTGCAACGTTACCATAGCTTACTATATCATTTAGTTGGCTTTTGAAAAATGCAGTATACATTCAATAATTATTCTTGAAGAAAGTTATAAAATAATAATTATAAACGTATACAAATAAGCACCTAATAATATGTAATATATAATATGAATAAAAAATTAAAATGATGTAGAACTTATAATATTATGAAATATAAATATATAAAAATGAAGTAATTATAAAAATAAATGTAAAAATTGTAAAATATGTAAAATTTATAAGATTATGAAATGTATTGACAAATAGTTTGTGCGACGACTGCAAAGCCTAACCGTCATTATTTCATATCTGGTATATAAGTTACTATTAACATCCAGCTAATCCAATAAAAGTCCGATAAATATCAACAGATTATTGTGCTCATATTATCTATTGATTACATTTGGCAACGTTGGAGAAAAAGCTTGAGCGTTCTCAATCGTGTTACTAAAAATAACGTTCTCAATCATATTTTACCGTTTAATTTTGACTTACTGATTCGAACTTTTTTTCATTTTTCGTAATGCCGAAGTTTTTTCAATGCATAAACTTTCTATTAGTTTCTGAATCATATTGTAAGATCCAAGTTTCATCATATGTTATTAGCCTTTTCAACAAGTCTGGTTCGCTTTTCATCCGTTCAAAAATGTCTGTGTAAATTCGTCAACCGACTTTTTGTTCCTGAAAGAGGTTTTTGAGGACCGTTTTAGTGCAAAGTTTTATCATGTTCAATTGACCGTGAACAATCTGTCTTATGATCTACTTGTTAATGTTAACCGTTTCAGCTATCATCCTAATCCTCGGTCACATCGTTAGAGTTAATTTTTACAAACATGGGTAAATATATTCCTCATCACGACCTTTAATAAATCGTTTGTGCCACTCATCATAAACACATATTCGTTATATAACAGCATTCCCATACAAATCGGTACCAACAAACGTAAAATTTCCGAAGCATATCCTCTGAGTTTCAAGAGATATTTTAAATCAAAATATGCTTTTTTTTTGTCCGACACGATTGCGATTCATAGCGCAGAAGTAATCACTTTGAACAGCGTTCACACGTAAATTATTGAACGAACAGTGTTTAAACTGGTATTTTTCGATGCAGTGATATTCATAAATTGTAAATATATCAACATTATTCCTTTATCTGTTCGTGCTTTATTGTTAGTTCGATGGTCTCATTATTTCATAGCCACACCTCGTAAATACATCATGTTTTACAGGAGCGGAAGTGACTTGAGTAAAATATAATCAAGAATTCGTAAAAACATTTTACGCTCATAATTATAATTAACTTTATTTCACATGGTAAAATACTTGACTGGTAGATATTTAGTGTATGAATAATTAAAAATTTTATAATTAAAAACCACTTTTTTAACTTTTTATTGTTTTTATTTTTTTTTCCTCGTTCGTTTATAGACATAGATGTAATATTATCATACAAACATATATAATGCTATTGCGATTATAAAATGATAAAAAAAAAACTTTGTATTTAAATATATTGTGTGTTAATACGCTTAATGTTTTTAGTTTACAAAGTGCGATAATTAATTTAAAAGACTATTTTCGTGTGGTTAAAAATGTTGATTATAATTATCGTGTTCAACGTTTACACGGTTCGCGTTCAAATATCGATTTATTCTTTTTAACTGTTCATTTCACGCGCTATAAAACAATTTACCGAACCGCTGACTATTCTATCTACAATAATAAATAAACTCTAACTTTTCTATTTTTTCCTGATCTATAGTACTGATTTTCCAAGAATTTCAGTACAATGCACATTATTATGAATAGTATTGAAAGAAACATAGCCTATGAAGTATAACACACCTAGTATAATTCATCCGTTTATCATTATAATTAATCGAATTAATACCTATTATGTTTTTAACTATGCGGAAAGAAATAAAATAAATAAATGCATCTGTAACCCAACGTTAAATCACTGATGATTATAATCATGAACACGGATTAATATTTTACGACTATAAATTACCTAGAAATAATAAAATCGAGTACGAGAGAATCTACTGTATGAAGACGGTGCATGTGCACGTTCTCCCACCTAATATCGTATGCTATAAAACAGTACTCGAGTTTCGTATTTAAATAGATTCGATACTTAAAAGTCCTGTAAAAGTCCATTATAAGAACATCGCAATCGTAAACAAAGCGCCCAAAACAGAGGTTGTTCGACGTGAAAAAGAGCGCGTGTAAGAAGTCTAAGTATCGAATCCATTAAACTTGATGAAACTCCAAATATTCCTTCGAAAATATACATGAACATATATATATATATATATATATTTATGTATACCTGTGTATATACATTAAGTGCGTGTGTGTGGGTGTACGAAAGACGGTTCCGGGAGTCGGGAAAACTTCGCAAAGTCGTATCCGAGGTGAAGCACGCGTATTAATATTCGTCTTGAAAACTTTTGCGCGCGACAACGGCATCCTATCGCATCGCGCGAGCTTTGACGGAACGAAAACAGTTTTAATCTTCGGCTCAATCCCGGCGTTTTTCGATCGAAAAACAAACAATAACAACAAAAGTATAAATACATGAACAAATACACTGCAGCGCGCGCGCACACTTGTATCGTACACGTGTATACGGTGATACTACGTACTTTAGGGGGTGAGCGGGCGGACGAGAGCGCGTCCCTGTTCGCACTCGTTGAAGTATTAATCCAAGTCCCCCGCGACTGATTCACCCTCATCGCGCCGCGTGTTTATACACGTACATGTACCGAAAGTTACCGATCGTACATATATATATATCATTTCATCGTCAGACGTGTATTATCGCGAGAGGAAAAACAACACTCGACGTCCGCACGATACGCGCTCGTAATCGTTATACGGTCGTGGCGCCGATGTGATCGTCCAACGAGTCGTGCGGTGCTGTGGCGGAACGCACCCCGTACGGCGGTATTCGGCAGCGAAATTGAAAGGGATAAAGTTTGCGGGATGGTACTCCGTCGGGAGCGATGGCAACTGCGAACTACGCGTGTGCACTCGGTATTCGACACTCTATTCGATCCACGTGTGTATACAGGTTTGTTGACCGCGGTATAGGTGTACACGTGGTGCATACACCGCGGGCTTGATCGTCACGCTAATTTTGTAGATCGGATCGCGAGGGCCGGCTGACCTACCGCACACGTATTGCGTTCAATTGGATCCACGCGCACGGTGTACATTACGTGTTACGTGTACGGGTTTGGTATTGATTTTTAGAGATTCATCTAAATTCGACTGCGGACGATTTGCAAACGCGAAAGTAGAAAAGTTTTTCTATAATCGTTGAACTCCGTTTTGAATACGCCAAACAATCATGATGGTACGTCGTGCGCTGTTATGTTTTGTGTAAAAATATGTGTGTGTGTGTGTGTGTGTGTGTGTGTGTGTGTGTGTGTGTGTGTATGTGTGTGCGTAAAAAAATAGATAACAACCGCTCTGAACCGTCAAAGTTTGTCCAACGCGAAATTCGGATACATCCGTATTTTCCTCGGCTCAGCAGACCTGCAGCGTCCGTTAAACGCAAAAAACAACGATCCCGTCCGCCGCGACTCGGAGAACATTGCATGCATCTTGATAATAATGAATGGAAGCGTACTCGGCGTTTTCTATCAGCAGCCCCTCAGCCCTGTACCCTGGGCCGACGGAAGGAAAGCACACGCGCGTTTTTTGGTTCTTGACGTCGCGGCATATCGTACACGGCCGATGATTTATACGCGCGCGCAAAACGTACAAGCACAGCGGGGGGGGGGGGGGGCGGGGGGGGGGGTGGTGGCGGGTGCGTCGAAATGGAAAGGCCTCCCCCCTGGTTTCTTTTTTCCTTTTTTTTTTTTTTTTGTTTTCCGCCCGTTTTACTTTTGGTTTTTTCTCTTCTTTGTGCGCGCGCGTTTTTATTCTCTCTCTCTCTCTCTCTCTTTCTCTCTCCCAAAGGCAATCAAGATGATGGATGATTTTCCGCGAGGCGTTCCGTGTCGTGTTGTTTTTTTTTCCTCCCCCCCGCGCACCGTTTTCATTTCTCGTTCCGTTTTGCCACATCAGGCGGCGGCTGACGGAGATCGCAGGCGGGCCACGACAAGGGTTTGTTTTTCCCCGGGAGCGTCTAAATGTTAAGCAGGAAACGGTGGCGGCGACGGAGGCGGGGCAAAGTTTTGTCGGTGGTGGAGGAGAGCTTCAAATATATATATATAAACGTGGCGAAAGATGGAGTGCGGCGGCGGCGGCGGCGCACGCACTTTATATATATACACACAGAGTACGTGAGAGAGAGAAAAAAAGAAAGAATCGTGTGTGCGTATGGGCGAAAGAAGAGAGAGAAGAACGGTCGATGGGCGGGTTGGTCGGTGGCGGGGCTGCGGCCATCAGTGGCTCGGTTAATGCGTTCTTCAATCAGCCGACGTTCGGGGGCGATCAATCTCCGAAAACACCGCCGCCGCCACCGCACTCCGACCGATCCCGTCGTCCGCGGAGAGACGAGCGGCAGCACCCTATTCTTTACAAACACGGGCGAGCGCACGAACCGTGTGCGGATGGCTTCATTTTTCTTACGAGCGGATTTTTTTTTTTTTTTTGTGCGCGTACCTCCGCTACCACCCCCGAGTCGTTTTATACACACGCGCACACGCAAGCACATTTATTTATATATATATATATATATATATGTACACAAGAAGGGTTTCTCTTTTTTTTTTCGCGTTTCCCGAGGTTTAGTTTTTTTCCGTCTCGCGCACAAACACACAAACGCGCGTTTATTTATATACAGCTCCACAGTCGTCGCCCACGCACGGATGGAATAATAAAGATGACCGACTATCCCTGCGTCTTTCACGTGCACTCACACCGACACACACACACACACACACACACACACGCATCCTACGGGCGGTCGTATGCGGAAAATTCGGATGCAAAGCCTGAATACGGGATTTCTTATGAATAAAACCGTTTCCTCGAACCCGTACTCGCACTTCCGGCTCCCATACCGGACGCGGTTAAATCTGATACGTTGATACCGTATAGATGTTTATAAAAATGAGATACACAAAGAATAAATATATATCATAACGACCGTCACTCCCTCCCGGGAATCACGGAAAAAGACAATAAAATATAATAATTTTGGTTCTCCCCCACCCCCTCCACAAATATTAATAGCAAAGTTATGCGTAGAGTTACGATGTAATTTATGGACAGCACTACTTAATAAATGCAAAAAACGAATTCTTACTATCATATTCGGTTTCGACTTTGTCGTTAGAAAATTGCATTACATCCTAAATGATTGTTGAAGCGTTAATGTATTATTTTAACATCGTGTAGTTAAACTTTGTTACTTTTAAATGTATTTATAAATTGATATAATTTAACTCATTTGGTAGTACGATCAATTTTAAGTGTATTAATATTATTCTGAAATTATTAAGGCCAATGTATATTAAATAGAACAGTAGAGACAAAATGTTATTATACTATTATTCATTACAAATATTTATGATTTCGTTATTGTTCTTTGGTCGAACATAATAGAGTTTTAACTTTGGATCCAAATTAAATTCAAACAACGAAAAAAGAATTTCCATTAAAGTTAAACTCGAAAATCTTAACAAAAAACATGGTAAGCGTTCACTACTATGCGAAATTTCTTTGGGTTGGTAAAATTAAAAAGTCCACTTATTTATTCATGATTTACCGAATAAAAATAAAGAACGTTTGTGTCAAACGTTTTTTAAAACGTTTTTAATTTCCAACGGCTCCGGAACGGGCCATATCATTATGCACTGAAAAATAAAACTATTTAATTATAATTTACGGTCTCTAAAAATATAAAATGAGCGTAATTCTGCTATGGTTTTTTCCAAAAAAAAAAAAAAAACTCGTTAATTCGACTCTCATACTCCGTGTTTTTATGGATTTTTAGAGAGGTTTTAAACAGGATAATAAGTTCAATTGTTACGATTCTTTTTTATTCTTTTTCTCATTTAATTTTCATCAATGCGAATAAAATGAATTATAATCACAATTGTCAGATACAGCTATTATCATTAACTCATTAATATATAAAACACTAATAGCCTATAATAACCTTTGAAAAGAATTATTTGTGAACAGTAAAATCTCGTACGGAAATATACTTGTAAATAAATAAAGAAATAGTTTTACAAATTATAATAAGGGAATAATAAATAAACAAATGCGAGTTATATACTTCCATAAAACACAATTTTCTAAAGTATGCTGTTTGATATTCTAATAAGGAATATGCTTACAGATATGCATATATTTTAACAAATCATCGGTAGATATATTATAATAATGCATCGCCATTATATAGACAATTACAAGTAGAGATTACAGAGACAATTTATTTTAATGAACAATATTTGTTTAGAGACGATAGTAGTTTATTGAAATATCAACGCATTTGTTGAAGTTTTCTATAAAATCATAAAAAGATGGCACCATATACATGCTATTTACCCGTCGCGGAAATTTTGACTTAATCATGTTTTTCACTGTTAAACTTTATTATTGTGTCGACAGTAAATAATGCATTTGTTCCGTCATAAGTTAGTATTATAGTCTCGAGAGTATGTTGATGTCGAAACGACCGTAATATTTTCGCTGCGGTACCAGTTCTATCTACTTAAACGATGTGCTTTTTTTTATCGAACACAATACATAATAGTATTACATAATTTATAAAATTTTATGTCGAACAGGTGTTTGAACTGTAGTTATAGTCACACGGAGATTTGAGTCATACTTCTGTTATATTGAATATATATAAACGTTTGTCAAGTCAGCACTCGTGCTCACGTTATACATGCATTATATATTATATAACCACTTACCGAATACTAACATCAGTGTAATATATTTTAATATTTTCGTACGATATTGCAGGACTACAAGCCGACAGCGTTCATGGCACAGGGGTGGCGTCTTCCCGCAATACTTCGGAAATATGGGCGTTAGCGGTGGCCAGATGTCCAGATGAGAAAAACAATGACTTCGGAAATGGAAAGTCTGTGTGTGTGTGTCTGTATGTCCTGCCTCAAGAGGGATATCGGCAGCTAAGGGCGAAGAATAAGGAAGAGGACGACGACAACGACGACATTGGGGAAAAAACATACTTTTACATATTATATATATTACAAATCGCTTTTAATTTCACGGTCCTTAGAGGAAATCAATTTTTGTTGCACGCATGTTGGATGGAGGTGGTGGAGATGGGCAATGAAGGGATGGCTGACAGATGCCGTTTCGTTGCGCGAATTATATTGGCACTGCACACACGCATTCGCGACAAATGTGCGCAACACTCTGCCAACAAAATATTTTTTCCGATCGAAGATTTATTGTTGTTTTTATTGTAATTCTCACATACATATATATTATATGTATATACATATGTTGGAGTCTATGTATAAACCCTATGCATGAAAAGTTACGAGGAACGAAATAAGCAAAAAAAAAAAAAAAAAAAATAATAAAGAATTAACAATAATAATACACATGTATCATAATCCGCATCCGGGTCAGAACCGAATGGGTCGTACACATTAGGACAGTTTGTAATTTCAAATTTTTTGCCATATTATTTGTATTGTGATACACAAAGGAGAACCCTTATTCTTCTATTCATCTATTGTATCGGTATAGAGATTTCGATATCTTAACATTTTTTATTTCCTTTATTAAAATATTTTTTTAACAAGTTTTGATGCAATATAATTCCCGATGAGCTACGGGCATATGACTTTCGTTTTATTTCGATTCAAATGCAATATATGCGCTCTAAAGCGATTTAAATCGTTCGGTGCATTTAATTATCACTGCTTATAATGACATATAGGTACACAAATATTAATTAAATATGAAGATGTGCTTTTGGTGACAAATCGCGTTCGCATTCGAAGCGACAACGGAAGAAGAAAAACCGATTGTATGAGTGGAAAAAATGGATCGAGTGAATAAAAAAAAAGAAAAAACGTCTCAATCGACGGAACATATCAGGCGTAGTACGTATAGTTCGGTAGTGGGCGGGGCGGGGTGACGTGGTGGTTTGGGAGAACACAATATATTGTATTGGTCGTCGAGCGATCGGAACAAATGGTCGCACGGGTTAACGCTTTTAACCTGGTCATGGTTTCGTAGAGCGACCGAGTCATCGCCATTACACGTACAAGGGACGCCCGCAAAACGAGTAAGTACACGTATACACCACCGCTCACTGAACACCTATATTCGCGGCCGGTGGCGAGGGGGTGGGCGAAAGCATCCTTGCGGACGATTCAAACCCAAACTATAAATTGTCGGTCGACCTTGAGGGCTCGGGTGCACTTTATTTCGCGCGCCAACAACGACCGCGCACTCACCCCCTTTCACCGTCGACACTGCCGTAGAGTATTGTAACAACCACCACGTTTGTACATATGTACGTAACGGGTTATGTGTTTATGTGTGCGTACGGATCTGAACGATGATTTTTGCCATCGCCGCACCATTTAACGGCACACATTTCATCGGGATACTCACTCCCGACATCCTATCGAACACATTCCGTCGATAAACAATTTCACATCAAACTCGCGTGCATTGCCATCGAGACATATTGTGCGCACACACTTGTATTTCAAACAGCTATACACGTACGTGAGTGCAGGGGCGGATCCAGGGAGGGAGTCCTAGGCCCGTACCGTATTTATAAAAAAATTAATTTTGTTAACAAAAAATGCATATTATAATATGGACTATTTATACGACATGCACAAGTATATAGATAGAGCCATAGAGGTATGACGGTTTATACAATGTACCCAGTGCTCGACTTGAGGGGTGTCGCAGGGAGACGGAGTACCCCAACTAATTTTCAGAAATTTAAGCGTCCCCCTACTATTATTACGCTATAATCATAACGCTCAGCCAGTTTTTGGGACGTCCTTTTTTTTTAATGTAAATAGAGTCCACTTCTTTAATTTTTCCAAGTCGAGCACTGTATGTACCTGCTATCTATATTATGAAGAACCAATAAGGCTATAAATAAACTCTATTAATATAAAATATACTATGGTATGGTACTATGATATTATTATTTTATAATGTTCGAAACACGAATTGCGTAACACATTTCTGTACGGACTAAATTGTTGTTTTTTCTTTGTTATAAGATTTTGTAAAATTATAACTTGCCCCACCCATTCTAACCAAGGCTCTGGAGCCGTCCCTGCGTGGGTGTTTGTGTGTACGGTTACGCAGCGAGCGATATTTCGTTTTTACTCACCGTTTGTCCGAAACGCGCTCACACATCGTATTCATGCTCACTGTCCATACACATAACGCTACGTTCGTCATGCCTTAGCGTTCTTGTCGACGTCTGACACAGACAAACTGTAAAAAACACAGCGAACACCACATTCAGTTTAAGACACGGGCCCTGGATTGTCGACGAGAGACTCCTATGGACGGATATTCGATTAGGTACTCCATCCGACTACAATGCGGATGTTTTACCATTTGCTTACGAAAATTTTCGCAAACGGAACAGTTCTTCGCCTCCCCTACACGTGCGATTTCGCATTTGATAATTTTCAAACAAAATTGTTTTGTGATACGAGTGTGTTCACCATAGATGGCTCGTCCGAGTCTTATCTTCCCATTACACTATACCATATCCTTTAGCTTTGCAATACCTACTCCTAATAATTATGGTTTTCAATGGTTTTTAATGAATTATTTATTATAGTTATTTATTTTATTATTATTTTTTTACTTATGTATCTTGACAATAAAGGTCCTGCATACAACGTACGATAAGCGAAAACATCTTCAGCGCGATAAAATCCAATTTATTCATTTCTTTGACCCTCCAAAATCGTTTTATGAATCCGTCACACTACACATGAACAGTATTCAAACGATATATAATTAATTATAATGCCGCTAAAATGGTACCTCCGCGACACGCCTCAGAAACGATTTTGAACACGCTTTATAAGCGTCCCATATAATACACCCATATGCGATTTGATTGTCTATACGTATAAGTATATTAAACGTTATATAATATTCATATTTTTCGCAATCCGAACACCGTTTCTGGAGAAACACATTTATCAATTTTCAGAATTTTCAAAACACCCACTTGTATGTAATACATAAATTACTTTAGCCTAATGTCAGGCTCGACGATCGTCGTGACGTTGATCATGGGCTACCAGAAAAATACAAAAAAAACTTAAATTTAAATAACTCTCGTAGATATATATATATATATATATATATATATATATAAAAAGGATTTACATAATTGTTTTCGTCGAAAAACATCGTATCTCAAAATGAATGACCATAATTTTTACGCGTACGTACATCGGTGAAACCGAAATTAAAAAGTTGGACTCTAACGAAACCCCGAACTTTCGATTGTCTTTTCCGTCACAATTCTTCTCGCCGAACCGAAACAGCAATTGATGGCGATAATAATCCCGTGAACGATTTGGATGTCGAGAATTTTGAATCCGAAAGAACCCGCGCGCAGTAGGCGCATCAGTTATACGGATGGCCGGCCGGTCTACCTGTTATTGGGGACGTGCGAGACGACCTGCGTAATACGCCCGTAGCGACACAATAAGATGAAAAATATTGCGTGTGGCGGTGACGCGACGACCGAGACCCACTGGACGGGCGACATTAATCAGCGTCGTGGCGTTGCGCCGCGTGGTATTCGTACCTACGTGTTATTATTGTGTTACGATAATGGGCACACGGATCGATGGAGCAATAAGATTGATACGCAAACGGTTTCTATCGGCTACTCGTTTTCGGGACGGCCAACGTTGTACAACGACGGAGATATATTATAACAGACGTCGTTCGGCGCGCACGGAATAGCGCGTATTTACACGCTAAAGCTTATAACATTATATCTATGCACGTTGCGTACCGTCATCACATCGGTGAAGGGGAGGGGAGGGGGAACACGTGGACGACGAAAAAAACCCTCTCGGCCAAAAAAGAGTGTTTAATCAAAAATAACGAGGCGAATGGATTGATAACGATTTTTTTTTTTCTTTTTTTTTTTTTTTTTTTTTTTATCCTTCCGGACGACGTCCCGCCGGCAGATATCGCGCCGAGACCCGTACGCGATCGCGTCCAACAACAGCTGAAAAACGATCGGTCGGGTATCCCACGGCTACCGGTGAGAATAGTACATTCACGTCGCCCTACGGTCTATTGGCACGGCTAATATGTCTACCGTTTCGTCACCGTACAACCGATGATAACGCAACGACAACAACCGTTAACAACCGCAGAGTACGTAACACGATCGTTACACACCTATTGTACACATTGTAAACGCGCTTTGTACGTGAAATTATTACGTATACGTTGTGCGTTCACGGCGAACGGGAGTGCGGCCGCGGCCGGCACCGGAGGAGAAAGGATAAATGCCACCGACTTGACAATATTAATCGGTCTCGCGACGCCCGGTTTTTAATTAATAATAATAACATCGTCGCGCGTCCCCCGAAAGAGAAAGGACGCCCGAGCGATTTATTTTTCACGTCCCCGCGTCTTCCCGCGGCTTTTGTTATCGTTATAATTATTATAATTGTTGTTTTCGTCTGCGCGAAGTTTTCTCCTCGGCTCCGTTGTTTCTCGTGTTTCGTTTTAATTTTATTTTTTCGTCTTTCGCCCGGCGGCCGCGTACAATAATAACTAGCGGCCGCCGCCACTATCACCACCACCACTACCACCACCACCACCACCACAACGTCAGCGCGTCCCTCGTTGCAGGCACAAAAACATTACGTTTTCGGGTTCAACGACTAGCGCATTAATCACACAAGGTCATAATCTGATGACTGTTATTAATACGATTGTTTTACGTCATCAGCGTTCCGCGTGTTCTTCGATCATTCGCGGGAGACCGCGAAACGCGCGCGCGCGCTGATCGTTCGATCAAAACTTTTCATGCATATTTTATCCGACCCTCCCGGCCGGCACAAGCTGTGCGACACGACGACGACGAATTTACAATCGGTTTATATGCGCGGTCAGCGAATGACGAGCCCTCGGCAAACAGCTGTTGGTGTTTCCGGTGCCGCGGACCGTTCTTCGCCACAGACGCGTCGTCGTGTGCACCTGGGCACGGTCGGCGGTTCTCCCGTGTCGCCGGAAACGAAACGGAAAAACCGTTCGTCGCCGCGGGACCGAGGTGAAGGCCAACGGATTCCGAGATCCCTCCGGCGGCGGAAGACCGTTGATCTTATTAAAAAGGGTTCGGTCGACATTTTACCAGATTAAAACGAACCAAATGGTTGTACGCGCAGCGCTTTCGTCGCCAACGCGCGTTTATTTCAATTCGCGCGTGTATTGTAAATTATTGTTTGTGGCAAACGATCGTAACGCGGTGTGCACTAATTGATCGGCGGTTGCAACTTCAAACGGACGGTACAGACGACTTGACCGAAAACGCATGGGAAGAGGAGGGGAATTTTTTAGTTTTTCCATGCGAATCGCTGACCGTTTAATATTGCGTTGCATTAACGTACGCGTCGTAGCATTTTCTTTTTATACTTCAAAGCAACGCGTTCGCTTTTATCGTTTCCGTTTTGTAACTGCGCAGGAATTCGACGCGTTAACCGTTGACAAATGACGACCATTAGTCCGGGCTCGAAATCGCATAAT